GTTCAGCAGCTCGGACAATAATCCAGTGGAGAGGAATGCTGAAATTGAGTGGGGTAATGCGTATTCGGCCTATAAGACTTCGAGCTTGAGCTTACGGCTGCCTGACTACTTTATTTTTGTACATGTTGTAGGGTTCCTCGCGTTTATTTCTTTCCGTCAGTCAGTGGGCTGTAAAACCTTTGTTATACGATATACTTATGTGCATTCGTATTTAGTAAGGTGTTGAAGGCTTTGAACTCGTAGGAAAATAGATACGAACATTTAGATAGCTGAGAGCATTTCGTCAAAAACGAATTCTTCGTTCATATTTATGTGTGTGCGTGTCCGCGATAACGATTCTATCGATTTATGACAATTGTTTTTATAATACCTGCCTATAGATGAAAATAAAATTTAAATTCCTCAAAAGCTTTATGACTAATATTAATAAGTAAAATGTATAAATATGCAAACACACATTTCATTAATTTAATTGTTAAATAATAATAAAAAATACAATAAAAGAACAAAAAAATTTCTTTATTAACTGACTATAGACCAAAAGTTATTTCGACGCAAAATATTATATAATATCATATTTTATCAATATTGAAAGAATAATACATTACACGAAGTTATTTTAGTAATAATATATATGAGTTTCTGAATAATTTGCAATAGAGTTTTAAAATAAGTGTAGAAAGCTGAAAATATGATTAGTTTTTATAAGTAGTAAGTTTCTTTTATCTAATATAGTATTTGTTTATTTGTTTGTTTGTATTTTGTTACACTTGTATATAAAAAATTTCTACTACATTCTTCGAAACACTCATATTTACAAATGTAAAAAAATATTTAGTGTTAGGTTGAAAGAAAATATTTACTGTTTACAAAATATATTATTATTTGTTTATACAACAATGGTAAAACATATATAGCACATGTTATTTTATTTAAAAATATTTTAAAACAAAAATCTCCCATCGAAGATGATTATCAAATTATTAACGCTTTAAAAATAAAATTCATTCAATGAATCAATACGTTTAATTTTTGCTTCCATATTATTTCATTGGATAATTATTTTATAAAAACGTTTCTTAAGCAAAGCCACAATTTTTCTTAAATTTAATAAAATTCAATAAATATTAGAAATACTATTATCGCTATAAAGAATGCATGTAGACACTTAATAGAAATTTAGTAATTAATTACAATTATTTATCATACTGGCAATGGCAAGGCAGTTAATAATTGAAACGACTCGGGTATTTCTTTTACAGTTCTATATCCAAGATATCGCAACGAAATTAAAAGTTTTTATGAGCACTTGACAAGCGAGAAAAATGCAAACGATAACGAGCTTTCACGTTAAGGAAAGCCTTATATCTTTTCATTAAGCCAGCGGGATAAAGTCAAATCTTGATCATCGCAATAGCAGATTATTAAACGATTCCTCAAATAGACTCTTATAATCTCTTAAAGTAGTTCCAGCTCATTATAAAGAAATAAAAATGTAGATATCTAATTTTAAGTATCATTAATAACAATCTCTAATATTAATATAATTTTATGACATTATTATTAATTCGTACCATCTGCATGAATTATAATTGAATATTATATTTGTTTCACGATATTTACAAGCAATCTACATGTATTAGTACTTATGCATTGAACAATTTAGAATAGTGATTAAAACAGAATAAGAAAGTAATAGACTTGAGGGACCGAAAGAAAAGAGAGAGAGAGAGAGAGAGAGAGAGAGAGACAGGGGGGAGATAAGCATTAAAATATTTCAGAGAATTTTTTATCTATTAAAACTATTTAAGATTCGTTTTAAGAAAAGGACTGTAAAAATTATTAAAACATATACGTTAATTGGCAAATTATCGAATTAATTACAACTTTGAATTAGTTATTAATTTTTAAAGAATTTAATTAATTTCACATATTTATTTAAATAATTTATATATTATTTCATATAGATATATTTTCATATTGATCATTCATATCGATATATTTTCAAATATATTTCATATAGATTGTTTTTAAATACGTATTTAAATATTATTTTACGAGTATTTAAAATTTTTTTAGAATACAATCACAAATATTTCATAATGATAATGTAAATTTATAGTGCTGTTTATATAATAATTATATAATAATTACAAAGATAATGTATTAATGATAATGTAATAAGAGTATTAAATAATTAACTAATTACTTAATTATTAAATTGATAAATATATTTATATTTCTCTGTATTTTCTATTTAAAATCTATTTAAAATTATAATTGTATAAAGAAATAAATAAATAAAAAGCAAGTTTATAAAGTAATTATTAATGAATAAGCGGCATATAATCAACTTAGAAACAATAATAATAAGTGTTTATTATATGTAATATAACTATTATTAGATTTGTTTTAATAATAATAAAAGATAATACATACATACATACATATATATATATATATATATATATATATATATATATATATATTTATTTATTTTAAAATTTTAGTGAAAATTAAAAATTTCCGAAATAATTTAAAAGAAATGAATTTGGAAAGTAGAAATTTAATGGTTGAATATAATTTAATGTTGATAAAAACTTATTCTTATTAAATACATTTGATCTTTTTCGTTCAGTATTGGCATATATATTATCAAATATTTAATAAAAATTATAAAGAAATATAATCCAATTTATTATTAGTTTGAAAATCTTATTTTCAAATTTATTTTCTGTTCTTATTGTATGTGAAAAAAAGGGTTTTCTTTTTAAATCCTAAAATGTCGATAGAAGTAAAAAGATCATTGAAATAATTAAATATTTTTAATCTTATTAACATTTAGAATTCACTGACAACTACTTTAAATATAATTAAATTTATTTCAATATTGTATTAAGCTCAACGAATTTCAAATACTTGTGGAGTGTATTTTTTGTATTATTGTTAATCATATTTGAAAATAATGCCAAGTTAGATTTTTGAAACAATAAGTAAGAATTTTCTTGTGCATATATGCTAGATAAAAAAAAAATAAAATTAATAATTTAATTAGAAGATCAAAATAATAAATTATTTTTGTAGAAAAATAAATCTTATTGTCAATAATCGGAATTATATGATTTTATAATCATTAATAAATGCAGAACGAGTTTCGAATTTTCTATAAAATATAGAATTTATTATTTCATGAATTTTGAAATTTACTTAAAGATTAAGCCATTTACTTAAAGATTTATTGCGTGTAAAATAATTAACAACCACTTAAATGAATATGATTGCATATTATAAACGATTAGCGATTTCAATTTGCCTGTAAGAATTGAATGATTAATCGCAGACGAATTATTTTCTTAGTTTTAAATGTAACTAACACATTGCTGGCGATGCATATATAGGTTAATTGAGTCTCAAGATACGACGACGCTATTCTCAGGTTAAGCCAGTACTTACTTAACCAAGCAATTATTTATTTTATTATAGTCTCGTTTTTTAATTACAACTTATAATAGATTTGTAAAAACGTATTATTTTTTCACGTAATCATATAATTTTTCATAATAAATTATTATGCTTCAATAAACCTTTAAAATATATCATTCTAGTTAGCTAATATTTTATCATGAAATTCTTCAACAATATAAATACAATCAAAGACTGTGATTGCTGATGAACATATGGAAGTGCCATTGAATATTTAATAATACATTACTTTCATAGCCATCTCTAATAATTTTGATTAATATATATTGAATTATTATATATTGCATAATTCTAATGTATAATAATTTTTTTTTAATTTATTTAGTTTATTTATTTATATTTATTTTTATTATATTAATTTTTTATGTAGTTTATTTATATTTTAAAACTATATTAAAAAAATAAAAAAAACAATTGGTTTGTTAACGCATTGAAATGATTTACTATTAACTTTTATTTAATTCACAAGATATCTTGATATAATCGTGTAGTGGCAGCTCAATTTCAAACATAGTCTTTTTTCATTTAAAAACAATAGCATTATCGATGTGTGTAAATATTTTTCAAAATAATTGAATTTATTCATCTAAATACTCCAACAGGCTAATAAAGCTTTCGCGGAATTTGCGTGTGAAGTCAAATCAGTTCGAAGATGATAATCAATGGATATTCCACACTCGAATAGTTGCATGTTTGCTTTGATTCGTGACAAAATTTACAGCGAACTGTCCGATTCGCGTTCCAATCTCTCGAAAATCTGCTTACTCAGTCAGTCGTACCTCTGGCGCTTCGAATTTGCGAGTCCAAGTATTCCGAGGTTCCGCACTCGCGAAACAGTGGCGTATAAATATTCCTAGTGACTAGCCCCCCTCTCCCATTCTCTCTTTCAGCCTTTAAATTTCGAAACGAACGACTGCGCGTCGAGACAAGGTCGAACTGCTTTCAAACTGGGTCGAACTCTATCTCTTTTCTCTACCTCCCCCTGCACTCGAACGCCCATACTTCTTTTTTCTTCCCTCGCGCTTCCCAATTCCCACGATTTCTTTTTTTCCTTATTTTTTGCCCTTTCAGTTGCTTACCCCTAGCCCCTCGCGACTTTCACGGATTCCCGAACCTACTATCAAGTCTCTTGTGAGTTCCAGCTAGGGTGAGAAAGAGCGCACGTGGAATTATATGCAATTCCGGGTGGAATCGTCGGGCTACTGAATTCTTATATATGCGCCAGAAGAAGTGGAGCTTTATGCAATTTCTTAGCGCACTAACATCGATTATGGGTATTTCACGAAACTTAAAAGCTTCAAAAATTCATTATTGCATCGTGGATTCATGT